TTCCTGTCTTCAACACGATGAATGTTCACGTTTGGTTCTCGCAACTGAGCACAATATTTCAAGCCATGAGAATCCAGTAACAGAATGCTCATTTCGCTTATGTAGTTGAGAAACTACCTCCCAATATCACATCGGAAGTTTCTGACTTGTTAGATAACATCCCATCAGAGAACCCATTTGATGTTCTGAAAGAAGCTATTATATACAGGACTGGAAAGTCAGAGGAACAACGAATCAACAACCTGTTCAACATGCTTCACTTTGACCAGAACAAACCAACACAACTTCTTCAGAAGATGAAAAACCTTCTGGGTAACAACACCATGTCAGAGGCTTTACTACAAAAATTCTGGCTGGACAAGCTGCCGACCCACACCACGCAGATTTTGGCAATGCTTCCTGAGGACTTGGATCTACTACAAGTGGCTGCAATAGCCGATAGAATCGTGGAGACAAGGACTCTTAACAGCACTCATATTACCTCGGCGGACAGCACACCACATGACAATACACTAAAGAAAATGCAGCAGCAGATCAACAAATTGTCCACACAACTGGAGCAACTGAGTAGAGTGCCTTCACATCCAGTATACAATGCATACAAGTCTCAACACCATAGCAGAACTAACTTGAACACTAGGAGTAAACCAAATACTGGAATTTGCTGGTACCACCAAAAGTTTGGAAAGCAATGAAACATTGTGCAAAACCTTGCCATTTCAATGGTCAACCAACATCTACTGCTAAAACACAAGAGGGAAAAGGCGACCCCAACAGCACATGAAGACGGCATCTGCTGTTGGGGGAAATCGAGTTAACCGTCTTTATATGTTAAGGATACTAACTCAGGCAAGTTATTTTTGGATGGAATGGAAACTGGAGTTCAGGTCAGTGTAGTCCCACCCAGAGCTAACACCACAACAGGTGAATCAGCATATACCTTGTGTGCAGCAAATGGTACCAAGATTGAGACATATTGTCAAATCTCTCTCACAGTCAACATCGGTTTAAGACGATCATTTCTGTTGTTGTTCACCATTGCACAGGTGAAATTTCCTATCCTCAGAGCTGACTTCTTAGCCCACTACAAGCTCGCCGTGGACATGTCTAACCACACCCTAATCTACCAGATGACATAACTAACACTTACAGGCATGATTTTCACATATACATCCACTAAGATATGTGCCTCACTCCCTGAAAACAACCTGCTACAGCATGTCTTAGATAAATTCCCTGCTCACTTATACGGAGTCCGTCAAACACAACACAATAGGATTCAGACATCCGAATCTCCTGTTTTTCATCCCCTTGCAAACTAAGCCCAAATAAGTACAAACTAGCGAAGGCTGAATTTCAACACATGTTAGAACTCGGCATCATACGACCATCATCCAGCCCCTTCGCTTCTCCACTCCATATGGTATCTAAGACACAATCAGGAGCATGGAAACCCTGTGGAGATTTTCGACGTCTTAATGCACAGATTGTGCTGGATAAATACCCTGTACCAAACCTAGCAGACTTTGCAGTAACGTATTCAAGGTGCTCAGATATTTACGAAGCTCAACCTACAGAAAGCATTTTACCAAGTTCTGGTAGCTCCTGAAGACATTCATAAAACTGCAATAACTACACCTTTCAAATTGTACAAGTTTTTGCGAATGCCCTTTGGACTACAGAACGCTGCACAATCTTTCCAGTGGCTAATAGATGAAGCCCTTTGTGGGTTACCACATTCATTTGCCTACATCGATGACCTGCTCATATCTAGCAAAGACATGAACAAACACAAAGATCATGTAACTCAAATTTTCAAGTGACTCAACCACTTTGGTCTTAAAATTAACCCCAATAAATGTGTATTCGCAGTACCCAGGCTAGTTTTTCTCAGACATGACAGTACTGGCATTACACCCATTGCTGATAAAGTAAAAGCAGTACACTGCTGACAACACTCCAACACCTTCACAGATTCTTAGGATTAATCAATTACTATCATCAGTTTATCCCTAAATGTTCACACATATTGGCACCCCGGACAGATCAACTCTGTAACCAGGGGAAACGCAATGCCAAAATTACACTCAACAGTGAAACTCTCACTGCATTCAATCAAGCTAAAGACGCCCTAGCGAATTTCACCAAACTTAATTATCTTCAAGAAGATGATAAAACACACTTATCTCTTACAACCGACATTTCTTCAGAAGCAATCAGAGCTGTATTACATCAGCATACAGGTGAAGTAACTAAGCCATTTTCATTTTTCTCTGTGAAAGTTACTCCTCCCCCCCAAAAATACAGCACTTTTTCACATGAACTATTAGCCAGCCATCAAACACTTTCGTGATCAATTTCACTGTTTTTATGGATCACAAACCTCTTATTTATGTTTTGCATGCTAAGAACAACAAATACAACCCTTGTGATTATCGACAGCTAGACTATATTTCCCAATTCATGACGGATATTCAATACATACAATACATAATACTGTTGCTGATACACTCTCGCGTGCTACTATTATCAATACATATACCAAACAACCATTGAATTTTGAAACACTGGCTGATGAACAATAAAAGAGACGACACTCTGTCAGACCTAAAGACAGATACATCATTATGGATTGAGCCACATCCCGTGACCTTCAGCAGTAGGCAATTATTATGTAGCACCAGTTCCTTCTTCCAAGAGAAGATAGATATTTGACCACTTCCATTCACTATCTGGACAGCAGATTACAACAAAGTTAATCGGTGAATGTTTTGTATGGCATAGAATGAGTTCTGACATTAAACGCTGGAATCAGACTTGCCAGCGAACAAAGATACATCGGCATGTTAAATTACCCCCAGGACTCTTCGTAGAACCTGATGGCCGCTTTCAGCATCTTCATGCAGACATGGTGGGTCCATTATCCAAAATTCACAACTATCAATACATCTTAACGATAATTGACAGATTCGCCTGCTGGCCAGTAGCTATACCCCTTCAGTTCACCACGGCAGAATCTGTTGCTAAGGCAATATTGCAGGAATAGATTTCCATTTTCGGCTGCCCTTTGGTTATAACGACAGACCATGGTCCACAGTTCCAGTCAACTTTATTCAAGGAATTTGTGAACTTGCTTGGAGCTACTCACATCTCAACAACTGCATATCACCCTTGTGCAAATGGCCTTGTCAAGAGATTCCATCGTCAACTTAAGGTTGCATTAACAAGTTCAGACACTGCCCCAACTTGGTTGTAGAAATTACCATTAGTTATGCTTTCATTACGAACCCTAATGAAGGAAAATCTTCAGTGCACTCCTGCAGATCTTGTTTTTGGTACATTGCTTACATTACCAGGTCAATTTCTAGAGAGAAACACTTCTATAGAACCAAATTTTACCTTTATACAGTACCTTCAAAACAAAATGGCTGAACTATCATTTACTCCTACACGAGTACACCCTAAGGAGATTTATTTTCCCAAATCTTTACAAGACTGCGACTACGTTTTCATTAGACAAGGCACAGTAAAAAAAACGCTAAACCCTAATTACTCAGGATCTTTAAAGTACTTTCACAACAACCAAAGTATTTTACCATTCAGATACACAATGGCTAGTCGACCATTTCTGTCGACTATTTGAAGCCAGCATATCTTGAGCAAGCTGCCAAACAACTCCATCCGGATTGACAGCAACATAACATTTCGCAGCAACCAGCATCATCATCATCGTAAAACCAAAGTTAACAGTGCAATTCACAAACATAACCACTGTTTACCAAAACAGGTAGGAGAGTGCATTGACCTTCTAAGTATCACTCCTACGTGACATTAAAGAATTTTGTTATGATTTTTATAATTTCTTTAATCTTGGAGGGGTATTGTGACAATCATCATCATCACACACACTTTTCGTGAGTCTCTCAAAAGCTTGCTCGCTGATTGGTCAATGCTAACCAATCAGATTGTCTGCATGTGAAGAGTGACTCTTCCCGCGCAGCGCTTTCGGAGCCGATGATCACCACTTGAGATAGGGAGTTACAGAGTAAGAAGTACATTTTATGGGACTATGTGGGAAAGGTAATGGTTAACCCTAGATGTGAACAGGTTAATAATGTAGTAATTGGGGAAGCATACTCTTGGGAGCAGTGGTTTGTGGGAAGAAGCTGCTTGAATGGAACTTACATCTCACCAATGGAATCTGAAGAGAATGAGGGTGGTTCACTACAATGTGCATGGCATGGCATGGCAGGTCTTAACTGTAAAGATTAGAAATGTTAGAACTAAAGAACGTAGTTTGTCTTAACATTTTTCATGGAAATAGTGATAGAGCAATGTGAGGCTTGTGATGTTTCATTTGTGAGAAAGGGGTTGCAAGGTGGAAAATAATTACTCACCAACAAGTACATGCAGACACTTTTGGACTTTGTTGAGACCTACTTGGTGAGTAAATAGATGATATGACAAAGACAAAAAAGAAGGAATAAAAGAGAAAGAATCACAAACGACAGTAGGCTGTATAAAGCAATAAGATTTACCTTATAAATACAGCTCAGCATACATTATAAATTGTTATTCATTATTCATAATTAATTTTCAATAAGCATTTTAAATGTTCACTAATACAAAATATTACAAAAATATTTAGTGTTTAGAGTTAAAGAAAGTATAAAATGTATCCCTGCAGTTCCATTTGATTAAAAAGTTTACACAAATAAAAGTGAATATTTAGGTTTACCATATTTTCCAGTCCTCAAAGTTTTTATTACAAGTTTACTTTTCTCATGAAATAAAGTGTTTTCATGAACCAACATTCTTCAATTTTTAAAATTGACACACACACACACACACAAATAATACTTATAACTTGTATCACTGGAACAAACTCCTCCTATGATAATGTATAGACAGGCTTACAAGTTCAACTTGAAATTGCAATTATTTTTGCTATTCAACATTAACCCTTTCCTGATTTATTTTGTTTACCAAATATTTTACAGGAAGCCCATGGATCATTAAAATGGTAGACACTTCAAAGTTTACTATTTTAGATGGAGGTACTAAATATATTGCTGTAAAGACACTTGCAAAATGTACAATTCTCGGACCAGATTCTGCTCTACAAAATCTTAAAATCAATGTTACAGGTAAAAACATGATAAATATTTTAAATTTCAATAATTATAATTTTGACATTCTTTTTCAATTTTTTTCTATTGCTATTTCTTTTCATCTTTTCTTTTTTTGTTCCATCATTTGTCTTTTTTTTGACATTCTTTAGTAAAATTAAATCAATTCTATAAAATAATAAAATAATAAAAACAATTTTAACTATTTTTTTAAAATATTAATGCTTTGAAAAAATAGAAAATTCTGTCTTGATTCAGTAAATTTATCTACTATTAATAAATTCATTTGTTTTGTGATTAGGGTGGGTTTATACTAGCTCAGTTACCAACTAGATTTCCTCAACCAATTCATATTGCCTGATAAAATTATAATTTTGCAAGCATTCATCTGCCCATACATTTTTAAACTGCAGTCTGGTTTCTTATTTTCTCTAGTATTATCTGTCCATCCCTTCAGACAATGAGGGTGGAATTTAATGATCAACAACAGAAATTGTCCACAAAAAAACTTTGTTTAGCTTTTATCCTTCTAGTCCTAACTGAATTCCTTCTCATGATCAGTTTTTCTAACATTCTACTTAGAAGTCCTTAAAATAATTCTCTTTTCTTTAGGTTGACATTTTTTCCAGGGTTTCTCTTGCTGAAAATGTCATCCAATAAGATCTATTAATAATTCCCTTGTAACTATAAATATTTATAAATATAATATATAAATATTTTGTTTCTGTCAATAATACACATTATAATTCTCATATTTTCATATGGTAGATATGATGTATTAATAAATACAGAATTAATTCCCTTGTAACTATATATGGAGACCAATCACATTTCAATAAAGCATGCTACTAGCAGTCAGAGTTAAAGGGTTTACTACAGATAAGCACATGATACATTTTGTCTCGTTATTCACTGTTACTGTTGGCTGTTCTGCATGGCACAACATTAACAAGATGTATAATATCCAAATAGGTCTGACTTCTTTCTTGTCAACATCTTATATTGACCTCAACGTATATTCAAATCTTTCTCTGAGTTGAAAAAGGTGAATCGACTTTAAATAGAGAAAACTAACCACAGGGTACTGCTGATATGCTAGTAAAATCCAATTTACCTATCTTAGCTATCTGTTTTTCATAATGCCCCTCCCAACTGACCACCAGGTATACATTCATGTACTTGTAAAATTCACACTAGTAATTTTGTTTAAAAATAACTACATATTTATTTTTACTTACTAAAATGTGCAGATATAATTTTCATGCAAAGCTAACTTAAATATAAAACTGAAGTTGAAAATAAATAAACAAAATGTTGTTCACTCTCAGTATTATTTCTTTATTAGACCATTCCAAAGATATGATGAAAACTGCATTATTTAGAAAATTGCTTTAAGAAAGCAACAATTTAATCCATATATCATAAAACCTATAAAATGTATCTTTTATTTTTTTCCTAAATGCATTTTATAATTACATATATAATAAAAATTAAGTACTTATTTATTTTACTTCCATTCATTTGTATGCAGCACCGTGGGACAAAAGCTCAGATCATAAATCAACAGTACAAGCAGATGAAAAACTACAAGTTGAATTTCTTCCGGAAGTTGTTGGTATGTACTTGAATAAGCTACATTAATCTTTCACTTAATAAATATTTTATTGTAATAGAAATTGTATAGAAATTTATTTGTGTCCACTCATAATTATAAATGTCTCCTTAATGTGGATAAGTCTTTGCTGACAGGATGTGGCATCGTATATCCTCTAACAAGTTTGGTTCTCATGACTACTGGTTGCACTATAACAGTGTGATAGATGAGGTTAGTTCTCTTTTTTTTTAAATTTTTTTTTTAAGCATTACGCCCCGAGCAAGATGTGAAGCCACTAGGATGCAGGGGGTTGCAGAAGATTTGGAGCAAGAGCAGATAGGAGTGATAGAAGAAAGGATGAGGAGAGGGATAGTGGATAGATCAAGGTAACTGGAGATGTCAATTGACATTACATTTGAATAGTTGGAGATTATAGCTCTCAGGGAAACAGTAATTGGGAAGGGTGTTCCACAGGCGAGAGGTGCGAGGCATGAAGCTATTGGAGTAGAAGAGACGGCTACATTTAAAAGTTTCTACAGTGTAAGGGTGGGAGCGGGGATGCCAGCCTCATAGGGCGCTTGAATTCATGGAGTCTGGGAACCAGTGAAAGCAGCTCATCGGAGCAATTACCATGAAAGTATTTGTAGAAAAGACAGAGAGAGGCGATGGTGCATCTGTGAGAGTGACTGTAGACGAGACGCCAGATCAGGGCCAATTATATTACATATCCGTCTGGATCTTGTCAAGAACTCCGAGGTAAACAGAAGGTGCCCCAGACCATATATGGCAGCAAGACTCCATGGAAGGGCGAATGGTTGATTTGTATATTTGAAGTATCGATTCCGAGGAGAAAAATTTCCTGGCGCGGCACAGAGAGCCAACTTTCCTCGCGGTGGAAGAAGCAATTGACTCAATGTATTTGTTCCATCTCTGGTCAGCAGTCAACGTGAGACTGAGCAGATGCAGGGAGTTGCTCTCTAGAAGTTGACTATCAGACATTCTAATGGGGGGCAGGGAAGAATCTCTATGGTGATTAATAGAGAGTAGTTTAGTTTGACCAGTTTGAAAGTTGACCAGCCAATTCTTGCCCCAATTAACAACCAATTGGAGGTCCATTTCAAGACGCACGGCCAGGTTAGTTTTGTCACCGACACTAGATTTGTTTTTGAGGCAGGAGTAAATTGTAGTGTCGTCCACATAGATGCCAACTTGGGAATCTATGGCGTCAGGAAGGTCGTTGATGAAAATAAGGAATAGAGTGGGGCCAAGGAAGGAGCCTTGGGGAACACCTGCGTTCGTGGGATAGAAACTGGAGGAGAATCCGTTGAGAACGACCTTCAATTCACAGTTTGACAGGAATGATTGTATTAGGTCAAACAATCGACCCTGGAGCTTATGAAGAAGGCCGGCATGCCAAACTCTATCAAACACTTTGGAGATGTCTATGGCCACAGCACGAGCCTCACCGTTATTTTGAATTTAGATCGGGTGTAGCGGAAACCATATTGCTTGTCTGAGAGCAGAACATGGGATGTAAAGTGCTTAACCACTTCAGCATTGATTAGGGCTTCGAAGACTTTGCCGAAGAGGGTCTATCTCTCCTCTCTTCATTCACTGATAAATCAGAATGTTTTGCTCATAAATTCACTTCCAATTCTATTCTGGACTTGTATGATATGCATACGACCCTGCCCACAGTTTCTGCTGTCTTCTCTAAACTGGGTCCCCACAAGGTAAGTAGACTTGATAAGTATCCCTGCAGTAGTCCTAAGGAAATGTGCTATTGTACTATTATAATGGCTTATTGTACCTTCTTGGGGCTACATTTTCCACTGACATTGCAGTTATTCAAGGTTACGTTTTCTGCTGACATTGCTCCTTCTCAGAGTTATGTTCTCCACTGACATGAAGTGGAATGATTATATTGAATCAATTACTAAGTCTGCTGCTAGGAAAGTTGGTTCACTGTCTCCCCTCTAGACAATTTTTCTCATTAGAATTTTATTAGAATCTTATATATTTATAAGTTTACCATTCATCCATGCATTGAATATTGCTGTCACAACTAGTCTGGTTCTTCTGTTAAATATTTAGAGATTCTTGATAAAATCCAAAGAAAAATCTGCAATGTTATCGGCCTTGATTTGGCAACAAATCAAAACTCATAACATTTTTTTCACAGATTATTTCATATATAATACACATGCCTTGGCCAATCCTGCTGTGTCAAACCTGGTTGGCAGTGACACTTGCTAGACACCACCTATACCAGAAGATGACTTAGTACTCAGGATTGTAGGATGATGAGTTGATTGTGGAGTCATTCCCATGCTGGTTGATCCTATTGCTGGTCAATGGGCCCTTGGTCGCTGACCATCTTCGTCCACAATCTGCTCTGCCCACATTGTTTCTTGTTCACAGATCAGTGGAGATCAAGTATCATCAGCAATCATAGCACAGTTTCGAACCATGGCAAAGCTCTGTTATGAAGGAAAAAAAAGAAATGGTCTCACAGACAGAATAAAAATGAAAGATTCTTCTGGCCAGTTTTCAATTTGGTTTATGTAGTACTTTGTATAACAACATTAATCCTTCCCACTAAAATCTCTATTTCTGTCTACTTTGCTATTGGTGTTAATTCTTGGAAGAGGGCTCAAAGTTGGGGGTTCTCTTGGCAGCAAGTCATGTAGATTTCAGTAGCACCTTCATCTGCTCTTCCCTGCTTGTCACTTTTCTCTTTTAAGCATTTTGTTTATATTGACTTTGACCCAAGACTGGAGTGGGGTTGACGGTATTTGAGAACCTGGTGATTCCCCAGGTTTCTGTATCAATTTGAACAAGAGTTCTTTGTTGTCTGATTCACAATATTAATTATCTTTCCAAATTTAGGTGAACCATTTGCCCTACTGGTGGTGATTGCAGGTATTGCCCTGCCCTTATAACTCATTTCTTCTCTTATTTATGCCTTACATCATTACTTTAAAATGGGCAGAGGTAATTTCCCCTTCTTCTTCCTTCTTTCTTCTTCATCTAAGCCCACTTCTTCAGCTGTCTATCTGACAAATCTGATTTTTAAACTGAGCGAGCGAAAGGGAGGTTCTTACTTTTAATCATTAATTGTAATTATCTTAATTTTTATCAAGGAATTTTCTCAGTTCTCAGTCTTGTTTATTTAAACAGATATTTACCAGCTGTTTTACTGACCCACCATTAGCAAAACTTGTCTTTGTATCTTTTCACTTAATCGTACTTATGAAACTTACAGGTCCATTTTGTATTTCAATTTCTTCAAGTGAAGGATAAAATCCTATTTCTCAATTTGTTTACATTTCCAAAATTGGCAAAGCTATTTCTGCTCTTTGACAGGCAGGCATAAATCAGTTTCTTGATTCTGCCTTCATCTTCAAAGTTATCAAATATTATAACACATTTAACCCCTTCTTCTGTCTAGTAATCATGAGACATTTTTGTAATGTCCATTTTAATTAAACGAACATATATCAATTTCTCAATTCCAGCTTTCATTTCCAAAATTCTCAACTAACCTCAAATGTACTTTCACTATTCCTTTGGACGTCATGGGTTTCACATGGCCTCTAATAATATCTTTCCCAAAACCAAAAGTCATTCTTTTCAGGTTTGTCTTTTCTTCAAGCTAGACTTTCGATAGGAAACCATTTCATTCCTTCTTTCAATTTACATGTTATATTTTTACCCTCTCTGTCCATTGGAGTTTATATTTTAAATTAACCCTTTTCCTTTACCAGTATCACATATTCTCAGTAACCCCCTTGAAATAATTAAAAAGAAATGTAAATATATTTTTGACTCTTTTATAAGGCCTTCTAGAATTTGAAACAAGAAAGTGTACACAATATTTACATATAGTCTTTTGTATATTCCTGGTAAGACCGTTCCTGGAGAATGTGTTGACTGAGTCGCAGTCGGGCAGAGTCTCTGGTTGAATCTCTTGATTCCTCCCCTCTCTCCCGGTACCAACCATATTTATATGGTCGGTACTCCACTATGCAAATTAGGTGGATCCTACCACAACACCCCCCCTCCCAAGCCTTGGAATCCCTTTTGGATTTCAAACTGGCTTCCTATATGGGTTGATGATTATGGCTATTTCTTTGTAGATCCATTTGCATACTTCATATGCATATGTCCATCCGCTTAATTTTAATATTTTTTCCGTTTTGGATTCACGTCCAATGGGTCCGTGAACTTTCGTTTCCTACCGGATCTTCTCGGTTCAGGAGTATTCTGCGGAGGTTCTACTTGAAACATATCATACATTACCTCAATGGGATCTTCCTCCTCATCCGGTATACTCTCTTCATGCTCTATAACGTAACATTTTTTAAGTTGATTCTGGTGCCTTTTATGAGTATTCTTCGGCCCTTTAATTATGTAAATCAGGTCACCGATTCTCTTGTCCACTATGCCTCGCTCCCAGAACTCAACGTTGTTTTTGTAGCACTTGAAAAACACCTTCTCTCCGGAGGTGTATCTTTTTCTCGCTGTATACATAGTATTCTTTACTCTATTTTTTCCTGGCAAAAGTTTGTCAAACACTGACTTAACTTTCCTAGCGAACATTAGTTCAGCTGGTGCCATGTTTGAGTGTGTTCTCTGGTTTGGCGTGATTCTGTATACTTGTAGGAATTGCTGAAGCGCCTTTTCCGTTGGAACTCCTGAGGCTTTCTTCAGAGCGCTTTAAAGTATCGACAAATCTTTCTGCGAGTCCATTGGACCTCGGATGATACGGCGGCGTCGTTATGTGGTTAATTTGATATAACTCACAAAATTCCTTAAATTCTTCAGAAGTGAATTGTGTACCATTGTCACTCACAATACACTCTGGCACACCGAACCGTGCAAATAGTTCATGCAAGAAAGTTGTTGTGGTATTGGACGTAGGCTTTTTTTTGCAGCGTAGTACTTCCGGCCATTTTGTAAAACTATCTACCACTATTAAGTAGTAATAATCTTCTACTGGACCAGCGAAATCAATGTGT